ATTGTTTAGAAAAGTGTCTGGTGTATGATAGGTGTTCAGGAAATTACAGCTTTGATTATTATTTGACAAATGATGACACTGAGGCTCAGGGAATTGAAATGATTTCTCCAAGGTAATGTAAGTGGTCAATGGTGAGACCCATCCTCGATCCCAGAACTCCTGGGGGCTTTCCCTGTCACCAGACACATCCCAGCAACATTCTATTTGTAATGTGCATAAACATTATACTTTAGAGTAATGGAGACATTTGGGTACTCTGCCATAGACATAGAAGTAGAGCTCCACTGTACTTAAGACACCACAACCACTGGACAGCCTGCTCAGAGAACTGGACTTAGGGAAGGCAAAGTCCTTACAAGATCCCATCATATAGCCACCTCTGCATAAAATTTTGGAATGGCTGGTTTGGCTAGACCAAAGAGGGCTAAGGAACTGCTGTCCTGGACCTAAATAAACCCACATTATTTGACTCTCCCTATGTGCCCTGGTGGTGAAGAGCTTGGCTGCTAACCAAAAGGTCGGCAGTTCAAATCCACCAGCTGCTTCTTGGAAACCCTATGGGGCAGTTCTACTCCGTCCTATAGAGTCTCTATGAGTCGGAATCGACTCGACGGCAACAGGTTTTGTTTCTTTGTTTTTTTTATTTGCCTTGGTGGTACAACACTTAAGTGCTCTGCTGCTAACCAAAAGGCAGGTGGTTCAAACCAGCCCAGTGGCTCTGTGGGAAAAAGACATGGCTATCTGCTTCCATAAAGATTATAGCCTAGAAAACCCTATGGGGCTGTTCTACTCTGTCACACAGGGTTGCTAGGAGTCAAAATAGACTTGACAGCACCAAACAACAACATGCGCATCTCACTGCAGCCAAAAGAACCATTTGTATTCTTCTTCTTCTTCTTAGAACTTACGCTTCTTCCTGTCTCAAGCAACATATTATTTCCTCTTCCCCACTGCATATTATTATTCTGTTTATCTTTAATAACTAGTTGCATTTTTAAAACTTCTGAGAAACTTTCCTTGGCCTCCCAGCATGACATCGATTGGACCCTCTCCTGTTTTCCAATACAACAAATTATTCTCCAACATAGCTCTTGTGAGTTACATTGTAATCACTGGTTTCCTGGTATCCATTTCCAACCACAGTGAGGATACCATATTTAGTTTGGTATCTGCGATGCCTAGCATACAGCCTGGCATAAAATATTTACTGACTGACTGGAAGTCTAAATGAACGAATTTATGAATAAAAGAGACAGGAAGACCTCAGAGTCTTAGCATTCAGCCATTAGGCACATTATCATTTAACTTGACTTTTCATCAGAGAAAGGCAAGACGGAATAAATGATCAAGAGAAAAGGTGTGACTTTGTATGTGATATTAATCAGTTAATGAAGCTCCCATAGAATTTTTTAAAAAAGAGACAATTTCACCACCAGCTATGTAGTCTGATTTGCATGTGTTCAAATCTGCAAAGTATTTCTTTTGATTTCTTTAATCAATAGCTATTTTAGAAAGCTCTTCATTACTTCCTAATTGTCTAAATTCATTGTCTTCATTTTTCCTTAGTAGAGGCAGATTTTTTCAAATGAGTTAAGTAGATCAGCAATTTTCAATTCATTATTAACTTCAAGCACTTCTCTCAGTTATTAGAATGCCCCTTCTCTCTCCAGGACTAGTTTTTTCTGTCTTTAAAAGCCCATCTGGCTCAATTTCTAGTCTTCTTTTATCCATACGTTTTAAATAAAGTCAACTTTATCCAAAAGAACAGTTTATGTTTATAATAACCATCATCCTAGGTACTTTAATCTACCACATCCCATTTTTGAGTGAAAATACAAGTGATTCCCTATTATGGTAACGCTTCCAAAAATAAGTAAATTATTAGGATTCATCCAGATTTTAATCCAACCCAACTAAATAAACTGGTAAAGCCATTACAATGGCCCACAAAACATTTTACAAATCATTTAAATCAATATATTAAATATATTAAATTATATTAAAATGAATATATTAAAATGGAAAATCACTCCCACAGAAATTAAACCACAGTATGTAAGGAGACACGCAAAATAAAGTTTTTTGTAGCATTGATTGTTGTGACAAACACTGGAAACAAACTGAATGTCCCATCAATAAAAGAGTGGTTGAAGATCTGTGGTATACCCATACCATGCAGCCATTTATATATGATTACATTAGCTTGGATAAAAGTACAGAAGGGTATTCATCAGGTTATTACTGGGGAGAGGCGAGGCAGCTGGAGGGAAACAGAAGAACAGAAAGGGGAAGGTAAGAAAAAAAAGAGGGGCATTCATGACAAAACATTTTATAGGATATGATCTCATTTATGTAAAATTGCATAGGTATTATGAATATGAATAAATATACATAAAAACATGACCACCTTGATTATCTGAGGATAATGGGACTGTACATTTTTACTTTCTTATATTGCATAAACTGTTTTATTATCTGAATTTTGATAATTTGAATTAATAGCATGATTATCATGTGAATTATTATTTTACATAATTTGAGAAAAAAGATTGTTAATGAAAATATATATATATATCACACTGAAACTGTATTGCTTTAAGCATCCATATAAATTTAAAAATTCATATATCATGTAAATATATATATCACAATGAAATATATATGCACACACAATATGTACACACATATATCTGTGTGTGTGTATATATATATACACATACACATAGAGACAGAGAGTAGTGTAGATAAAAGCAAAAGTTTGGTGGTTCGAATCCACCCAGAGGCACCTCGGAAGAAAGGCCTGGCAATCTACTTCTGAAAGATCATAACTATTAAAAATCCTACGGAGTACAGTTCAACTCTGAAACACTTGAGGTCGCCATGAGACAACAACTGGTTTGATTTTGGTTTACAGGCAGTATCACCAGTCTACAATCAACATGCTTGATTGAATATATGCTTATCAACATATTCTTTAAAAAAAAAAAAAAAAAACTCTGCTGATTTTAATTTTAAATCCACTTTCCAAAACTCAGCTAATGTCATTCCTTCTTATTTGGGTTCTCCACTTGTTTCCCCACATGCTTGGTTTCCGAGAAAGTCTTCAGAATTCCTCTATTAAAACCCCTTAAATTTACATACTTTGTGATATCTTATTTTGCTAGATGAAGTGCAATATTATGTATGAATTCCTATTTCAGGCTGTATAACCCTCAGGTATACCAATTTCTTTTTATATTCAGTAGGAGTTCTATAGTGAGAGAAGAAACATTTTCAAAATCTAAAGGTAAACACATGGACAACAATACTGAAAAATGCAGTGCAGGCTCCTGAAGGTATTTTGTATAGCTGGTCTTCTCCCATGACTTCTGGAGTTTGTTTGTGTATAAATAAGCTTGTGAAAAAGACACACTGACTCACTCCGTGTTTAAAATAACCCAGTATTTTCACCAACCCAAAACTGAAAAACAAGATGTCTAGCTACCTGAATTTTAGAAAGCATTTTAACTACTTTGGTGTATAAAAGTTGTTATGAAATTAGAATAATCAAAATACCCAAGGACTGATGTAAAGGATAAAGAATAAATTAATTTCAGGTATTCTAGGCCATTATCATCAGCATATGTTTCTTTAATTATCTTTAATTATCTTTCCCCTCAGAGACTTTATATTTTACAAGATTTGTTCTACCAAAACAAATGAATTTATAAAGTAATAATTAAAAAAAAAAAATTTCTTACTAAATGTCCTGCCCACATAACTGCCCACTACAGCTACAGATCAAGATGAGGAAACCAGTGTTACATATGTAGTTGCAATAATTTAGTTAGAGGCAAATAATTTGTTATCATAAATCAGTGTAGCTTCTTGTTACAAAGTAGTTTCTTCAACATATTGAAAACAGTTGAAGATACACCTTAGGGGCTCAAAGAATCCACTGACCTCTTTCAGAATCACTGTACAATAGTCAAAGAATAAATCATGGCTAAAAATCAGCTGTATCTTAATTTTCAAATGTGTTAATTTACATTTTAAAAATAAGCAATCCAGAAAAAAGTATCAGGATTAATTTACTAGAAGAGTAGCTCTGCAGTGACCTATGAAAAGCATGTGCCTTAACCTTGTGCCAAGGGCAGAGGAGACAAATCGACATGAGTGATGAGTGCTCAGCAACCTTCCAATTTCACTTACCAAGATTCAGTAATGGATAAGAGAAGGCAAACATATCAGCAGAAGATACTGAGTGCAATATTTTGGCTCACTTTTCACACCTATTTCTTTTGTTTCTACGAGATAGCTTTTGCTTTGTTTTCCCTACTCCAAAAAGATAAACGCAGATGCAGCCACATTCTCTGGAGACCAGGATTCAAAAGATCAAGTTAAAACAAATCCTTTTGAAAGTATCCCATCTCATGGCAGATGCAGTAAGGGATAAATTATTGGCCATCCTGAAAATTCCCTGCACAAGAAACATCTTAAATACACATGTCCAAAGTTCCAACCTTGAAAACTAGGTTACCAAGTGTTGCAAGTTTGAGGATCATGCAAGTTTTGTTTTTTGTTTTTTTAAATAAAGAGCATGGAAGTAGTAAATATCGCATCACACTGAATTCCTATTAATCCCCACTTTGTTCATTTATAAACCACAGAGAATACTGTATCAGCCATTTCAAACCACAGCTCTGTTAAAGATTTAACATCTGAAGTCAGAATGAGGTTTTCTTATTAAGCTGCCATTTCCTTTACAAAATAAACTATTTTGTACTTACTGCTACCCTTTGAACTCTTATAGTGAATAATTAAAACTAAACTGCAAAGCATATTTTGTGATGCTGATTACACTATAGGTAGTAGGTTTTTGCTTAGTGGCTCACTTTAAATGCTCACCAATCCCCAGAGGGATCACTCTGCCATTAGTCTGAATCGACAAAATTGGCTGGCCCCTAAAAGCAAAGCAGATAGCTCCAGATCACAATAAAATGGTCTTGTTGGCGACTCACCATATTGACAGCAGGGTCCGTGAAATCCCTCTGTACACGGGCACCAGTGGGCTCCATGATCTGAGCATCTCTCTCTATTAAAACGAGTCCCCACTGCAGAGATAGCTAAAAGGAGGGTGGATGAGGAAGGTGGGAGAATGGAGTTGAGGGAAAAAAAGGAAATCATTGATGTAAGCACAACATTACTAATACAACGTAATCTAGAAATTTCTACCAGCTCCTCATAGCAAGGTTAAACAGTGTTTTCATTACAAGTTAAGACCTTACTGTGTAAAGCCTTGAAGAGTTCTGCGTGTGGTAGCATCAGTATCACCTGGAAGCTTGCAGAAATGAAGAATCTCAGGTCCCACTCCAGACCTACTGAATCAGAATCCACATTTTAACAAGATCCCAGGTGATTTGTAGTCCCATTCAAATCTGAGAAGCACTGGTCTCAAGAAACTCCATAGACAAGATGCTTGTGTGGCCCACGCAGTCTAAAAATCAAACAAGAAATACTAATACTTACCAGGGGCAAAGGGCTGAGATAGGTGCTATGCACCAATATAAAGAGATGGTTTCACAATCAGTAATTTCCAGGGGTTTATACCATAGCTGATAGCATCGTGGGCAGATGTGTTCACTGAGCTTAAACCACCAAGATGCGATGGCTGAGTACTGCATGCAAACACACAGTGACCGTTGGTGCACCACTCAACACTAAACCCACTTAACATGGGAAGCCTGTGGCAGCTTCACTAAGATATTTCAAGAGCAGAAAACACAGCAGGAAAGGAAGCAGAATGCTGACAAACTCCCGAAGGTACAGGATAGCAGGAGAGACGAATTATTGTGCTGTGGTGTTGCATTGATTGCAACACACTGAAGCATTTTAAGTGACTTTGCAATAACCATAAACACATAATATAGGTAAAGGAGTTGCTAAAGGAAACCATTTCTCCTGGTGTGAATGAACTATATATTGCCACTAGTTTTGCTGTTTGAGCGCTGTCAAACATACTCCAAAGGTTCTGAAATACCCTCAGAGGAGGTTTGCAAAACGACTGCATACCTCATCTTAAAAAGTAAACTGCCTCCAGAGTTCTGCAATTAATCATGACAAGCAGAAGTTGAGAAATCCCATTTAGATTTAGTACAGTGATTTCCCTCTGGACTTCTGAATCAACTGTGGATTACAAATTTGATGATACGGGAAAGGGGCAAACAGAAAAGGGAGATGGAAGGCAAGGTCTAACCTGTCTGGCTTTAAATAAACTGTCTTTTAAATAAAGAGACAGACTATAAAGCAGCACTTCATGGGTCCTGAGTCCTGACCTATCATTAGAAACGCTTAATAGAAAGGCTTTTTGTGCATTTTTGCACATGTCATGTGTGAATTTTCACTCCAAAGAGATGCTTTGAATCTGTGGTGATGCTAAAGATGCCTAAAACTTGACAGGCATGATATGATTGAAGCCAAAACTAGGGCCAAACCATTACTTCTAGTGACAGAGAGTTAGACTGGAAGAATTATAACTTACCGTGTAGACAGCCCAGCTCACTGTGCCGCCGGCTCCAGCCAGGGCAGCACTTGTAGATTGTCTGCTGCTCCACACTGTACACCAGTCTGTAGATGGTGTACTGGGTCCTAAGATACACGGGAATCTGGGTCAGGGAAATGTGATGCTAAAAGGTGTCTCCCTCCTCCCCAAATCCTGCCATATATATATATATATAAACACACACACATATATACATACATAGGTGCACACACACATACATTTCACAACATATGTATACTACATATACAATCAGAGTCCAATATTAAAAAAAAAAAAAAAAAAACCCATTGCCACTGAGTCAATTTCAACTCATAGCAACCCTATAGGACAAAGTGGAACTGCCCCAATAGAGTTTCCAAGGAGCAGCCAGTGGATTCAAACTGCCGACCTTTTGGTTAGCAGCCGTAGCTCTTAACCACTGTGCCACAAGGGCTCCAAGTCTGATACAGGTATACCAAAAACCAAACCAAACCCATTGCCATCAAGTTGATTCCGAATCATAGCGAGCCTATAGGACAGAGTAGAACTACTACATAGGGTTTCCAAGGCTGTAATCTTTACAGAAGTAGACTGCCACTTCTTTCTCCTGCAGAGTAGCTGGTAGGTTCCATCTGCTGAGCGCTAACGCAATGAAAATTAAGAGGGACCCCATGTCTTGTGGTATAAAAGAGTCACTCACGCTATCAATAATGGAACCCAAAATTATGAAAAGAATAATGAAAGCCTGAAGAATAATAATGTACATATTTTGCAACTAGACATTGAAGGTGCCTCATATATTGATCCACCATAGCACGCATTCTCAACAGGGGTGATATCGCCCACAAGGGGGTAACAACTGGTTCTTGGGAGGAGATGAAAAAAACCTTAGCTAATGCAATGGTCTGTCACCCTCCAAAGGGGCACAGACATAAATGGATATAAAGTGTATCTGTGGTATTAAAATATCATGGGAGAGGTGGGTAATAACAAAAAAAGAAATGTTCGAAAAGGTTTCCTGGGGTCAATAATGAACAAAAGGTTGAGACACACTGAACTATTGCTATCTCTGCTGACCTCTCACTAGACCATAATACCAAATATCTCTAAACAAGCTTATTTCCTTTCTGTCAGATCAATGTCATGTTTACTCTTGATCCCAAAAATACTAACATATTCTCTCCCCTTCACATACCTCTCCTCACTTCCTAACCCAAATCCTCTTCATTATTCAAGGCCAATTTCAAGTTCTACTTCCTCCAACTTCTCTCTCCATCGCATACTGCTCCTTCTCCTCCCTCAAAAACGGGACTTCTTGTCTGCACCATTTTTTAGGACACTTAATTATTCACCATCTTGAAGTGCAACCTAATATTTTGTGTATGTCTCTCTCCATACGGAATATAAGTGGAGGACAGGACTCATGCCAAACATTTTTTAACATTGGCCTCAACTCCAAACTAGTGTCATACACATAGCAGATGCTCTTTAAATATTTGTTGAATAAAGTATAAAATCACTAAACTCTTGAGAATGAAAATATAAGACCTGTTTTACTTATTCATATTTGTTTTCCCAAGTCTGAATGTCTATATGACAGTGCATTTTTTTTGGCTTAGTCTAATACCAACAATGATTAAACCTTGTGGAGAGAGTACAGAAAATCTAAATGAAAAGCCATTTTTAAAAACAGGTACTCTAATGAATAAATCACATACACTATAAACTAATTTCCAATTTAATTTCTCCTAAAAGAACTTATCCTGACACCGCATTATACTATCTAACACATACTGAGTACCTACTGTATACCAAGCATTGTGTCACGTGTTAAATATGTTTTTTATTTAATGCCTACAATATCCATGCATGATATTATTTTTCTAACTTTACAGAGTAAGGTAGAGAAATATACTTTGCCTAAGACCACACACCTAGTAAAAGCCAGGGGAAGGTTACTGATTTAAGCTTCATTTAAAGGTCCGTCATTTAAAAGTTCAGATCAAAAATAAAAAAAATTGTCCCTCTGAAAGTATAAATAAACAAACTTCATTTAAACATCCTGAGTTTAGACCAAAAAAAGATTTTCCTTCTGAAAAAATAAACAAATAAATAAAATGTATATGTAAATATCACCAATTATAATTTTTTTCATTTTATGTTTTATTTAGTCTTATATTATCAGTGTTCTAATATTTCTATACAACGGCAAACCCAGTTTTCTAAATGACCCCAAATTTACTTTGGCAATAGTAATAACAATAACAATTATAATAACAATAACAATTTTCTCATTAACCAAAAACTGTACTTCTTAAAAAAAAAAACATTAAGCATCCTGAATTCAGACCCAGTTGATTTATTTACCTCAAACATAATCCATTAATAACTATTCGTATTCTTTCAAGAGGTACTTTCATGTTTTGTAAAACTATTTTAAACCTTTGGGGAAAGAAAGTCTGCATGAAGCCTTGACTCTCCTAGAAAGCATGTGGATACTTGCTTTTTTTCTCTTCTTCCACAGCCTGCCGAGTTAATCCTAATTCAAAGGCCGTAGTAAAGTTAAAGAAGCTCTAGGTTTCAAAGTGCTACAAGAGTACCAAGGGCAGGTCAGACATTGGCTCACAACTGTAGATCCCCCGGATCCAAGTCATGCTAAATTTAGCAAACCAACACAATATTCCTCGTTTCTGTCAGTCTTCTGATAGTTAGCTTTCATTTACCGTGGCATGGTTTATCATGCCATGAGGTAAAATTAGTGGTATCTAACCCAAAACACCTCACACCTATGGGGGTTAAAGTTATAATATAACCTGTCTATAAATGTCTAAATATATGTATATAATTCTGAAAGATCCTGGTGAGCATAGCTTATGCTCATTACTTAATTATATAATTATTTCCTAAAATTTACTGAATGAAAGTATTTAGATTCAGTTGAGGTCTTTTGGTTTTGATTTTGGATAATGAGGAGGAAACAGTGGAAGCCCCGTTACCTTCTCTCATAACCTGCACACCACCTTGGGCCTCTACAGCCTTGTTTCCAGAGCTTGACAGTGTGTGTAAAAGCCTGGACACAAAGGTGTGCACGTCCCACCACAGTCAGTTGCTGCTCTTCACAAACTTTGGCCTTGAAAAAAGAAAAGAGTAGTAATGCGATAAAAATATACTGTTTATGGTTTATGCATGCATCATTTATTCCTTCGCTTTCCACAAAAAGCTCGTGGCGACTTACAAAAATACATTAAGTAAGACAGAAAAATACAGACAATATTAAAAAATTCAATACCAGGAAGAAGAAAAATCTGAATAGATGCAATAGATTAGGAGAAATTTAGAAGACAGATATAAAAGCCATGAGGTCCCACGTGGTTGAAAACTGAGCTTCAAATTAAGTTCTGAGCTCTTTGGTAGCCAAAATCAAAAAAGAAACAGAATTAAAAAATTCTCAACATACATGAAGAAAAACCACGCCAATTCATCAGAAAAACTTAAATTTCTCAAGGATATGATTTCTGAACAATATTTTCCAGCTGGACATTTAATTAAATTACACAAGTCAGACTTTTAAACACAAATGTTTGTCAACTAGTACCATTACATTAATATTTCCTTAAAGAAAGAGTTTATATAAATTTACAGCATTTTAGACACAGTACTTTTATCTTCTAAAAGTGTAAAGCTAGATAACATTGATAGCCTGGAGAGCCAAAATTAATCTTTTTCATCACCTCTTTTTGTAACTTGAGTAATGTTTTCTTAGTGATGAGACAGCGGCTGCTTTTTTAATTGTATTTCTAGTCCTTAGCAATTGTTTTGCATTTGAAATTATAACAGCCAGTTGGGCCAATTACTCATCCTCTCTATGCATTCAAGGACACCTACATGCCACACACTGACCCCAACCAGGAATACCAGTGATGAACCAGATGTCCACGCTCCTGCCTTCAGGAAACTCACTCAACCTTCCTGTCCATACTCACAATCTGCTGAAAAAAGAAACGAGCTCTAATTCAGAAGCCTTCCCCTAAATAACTCTGTGAATGTGCCCATGATGCACTCACTAATAATAGTAATACTGATAAACATATAAATAGAGCTCCATAGCAGTTACATCACCGACTGAGGCTGCAGTCCCTTTTTGTTATCACTTCTTTCCGTGACGCTGACTAAATCTCACCATCTGATTTCACTTAAAGCCCAATTCCCACTTCCAGTTATATTTCTGAAAGGTGACTGTCTGGACTGTTAATTTTCACCTAAATTGAATAAAGTTCATGCTGAACTTTATGTATGAGTTTGCACTTTAATACTTTGGGTAATACTGTAGTAAAACAATAAATGTAAATACTGCATATAAGTTAGGCATCAGATTATAAAATCATCAGGAATTGGACAGTGAGCCTAAAGAAAACCCCAGGGTTTGGCACCCCTCCACCCCCATTAGGTTTGCTTGATTTCTACAAAGAAGAAAGAAGTCCTCAAGAGAAATCTATACCTTCAGTGACACCCAAAGCCAGCAGCACTAGTGAACATGGAAAGGTACAGCAAAAATTTTATGGCTCACAAGGGAATAATAAAAATATTATTTATTATGTCATATATATTATATATAATAATAAGATTAATGTTTCCAGAACACATCTTGCAATCTTGATTGTCACCAGGTAATTTCTCTGATAACATTAAAAGAAATATTAACATGATCTTTAACAATTTTACAAATCATGTTACTGAGTTTTTATTTTAGGTTAACTCTACTCAAGGAAATATTTTGGTAAATCAGTATCATTCTTGATTCCTAAGCACATGTGGCTAAGTAAAGTCAGTCACTTAGTTATGCTGCAGTCATCATGAATATATTTCAATAAATATTTAATCTCCTTTAACTGTGAAAGCAATATATGCAAATGATAAAAAGCCTAAACAATGCAGAAGGATAAAAAGTCAAGTTTATAGCCCCCACAATGCTCCCAGATAGAACCACTGCTAACAATTTGATGCATTCACTTCCAACTATTTTTGGACATACAAACATGCGTTTACATAAATATGATCATACTATATTTACTATTGTTGAAATTATGTAACTGGCCTTTTTTTTTTTTTTTAACTCAGCAAACAACATGGATAAATACTGTCCCATTTTAAAATATATAGAATGACTTTAACCATTTTGCTGTATTTCAGAGTATGGCATTACCAGAATATTATAGCAGAATTAATTTAGCCAAAATCCAGTTGATAATTAGGTGTTTCCAATATTCTGTGACTAAAAACAACTAATATAAGCTCTTACATAAGTAACCAAATTAAAATTTTTTTTTTTTAGATTTTCTTATGTTACCAGCAATATTTGTTTCCTCTGAGTTCCTTTTTGTCCAGGTTCTGTTGGTTTGCTTTTTTTTTTTCAATGTCCCTCTTCTATGTTTTGGCTATCTCAAATATCTAATTATTATTGCCAGTCTATATTTAAGCAAGGAGCCCTGGTGGCACAGTGGTTAAGCATTAGGCTGCTAACCAAAAGGTCAGAGGTTCAAACCCACCAGTGGCTCCTTGGGAGAAAATACATAGCAACCTGATCCCATAAAGATTAGTCTAGGAAACCCTATGGGATAATTCTACTCTTGTCCTACAGGGTCACTGTGACTTGAAATCGACTGGACAGCACACAACAACACAACATATTTACGCCGGGGGCCTTAGAAACTGATTAGGGGTTCTCTGTGAGAGAAGGGCTTATAATTGATGGGCTTACTGCCAGGTGATTACGGTGAACCTTTTTCGTGACACTCCTAGATATTAGTATGTGGAAATATGTTTTCTGAGGCCATTCAGTTTCTCCAAAAAAGCATCCCCCAATCTCCTGCCTTGGGAAGCAGACACCTTGTCCCTAGTTCTTGGGGTCTGGACAGGGGAAGGACAGGGTCCTGCGTTTTTAGCCCAAACTCTCACCCCCATGTAGTGTCAGTCTATCCCCATCTGGTGCTTCTCTGGTTTGCATTCTTCAGAGGAAAAATCACTCTCTGTCTCTGTCTCTCCCGCTCCCCCCACAGGGGAAGTGGAAGGAGCTAGCTGCCCAGCTCTACAGGTTGTGCTTTCATTAATTTTTCAGAATTTTACACTTATTTTGTTTAATTTTTTTTATAACTAAGTTATTTTTATTTCTTCTGGAATGAACCAATATTCAGATAAGTGTTTGACAACTGCCTTTCCAGATGTTAGTTTTCTTTTGTTGTTTTGGACTTATGGTTTGTAGGCTTATCTTGACTGGGAAGTTCTCCTATCTTTCTCTCCTTACCTTTCCTTATCTAGGAAAACAGATCTTGAGAAGATATTTTCTTGTGTCTTGGATATATGGTAAAGTCCAGAGCTAAAAAACAAAAGGCACTAAATATCCCCTCATTCCAAACAGTACCACATGATATTCTCAAAGACTGGAAAACCACCTTACTACTATCAACACCCCTTTCTCCCTACCATTTCTTTCCCCATTTAAAAACTGAGGAAAGGAAGTGCTATGGATTGAACTGTGGCCCTCCAAATTATGGAATCCTAACCCCTATACCTGTGGATATAATCTAATCGAATGTAAAGCAATCACCTTTCATAATGCAATCTAATGTAATATAATCAGTCATACAGTATAGGGTGGATCCTAAACCTGTATGAGTTATCCAAAGGCCAGATTAGACAGAGGCACACACACACACACACACACACACACACACGGGAAGACTGATGTCATGTGAGGACTGCCAAGGAACCAAGGAATGCCTGGGGCTACCAACCCATGGAGACCCTGATTTGGACTTTTAGCCTCCAGAACTGTGAGAAAATATATTTGTTCTTTAAAGCTATGAACCTGTGGTATTTCTGTTACAGCAGAACTAGCTAACTAAGACAGGAGGGAAGGGATATCAATTTGTTGACTTTCAACAAGAAAGGGAAGCCAGGTGGATACTTCCCAAGAACACCAGGCCCACCACTTAAAGTAGAGGCACCAACTTCAGGCACAGCCAGACCAAATCCAAGTCACTGTCCCTGTCAGCAGCAGGAAGTCAGGCTCCTCCACCACTTCTCCCTACCCCTCCCAACCCAGGAGGAGCTGGATCTGTTAGACGAAAAGGGAGAAAAAGAGATGCCTCGGAGCAAGACCACAACCAACCCTTGCCCTTGCCAGATCCCTCCAAGGTACCATGGCTACAATTCTAGCCTGTGATGGCAGAGAGGAGGGGCAGATACTGAAAATTTAAGTTTTAAACTAGGCTAGTTGCTGAAGAAAATTCAAAAACAGTTTCAGCAGTACATTGACAGGGAACTGCCAGAAATTCAAGCCAGATTCAGAACAGGATGTGGAACAAGGGATATCGGTGCTGATATCAGATAGATCTTGGCTGAAAGCAGAGAATACCAGAAGGATGTTTACCTGTGTTTTACTGACTGTGCAAAGGCATTTGACTGTGTGGATAATAACAAAATTATGGATAACATTGTGAAGAATGGGAATTCCAAAACACTTAACTGTGCTCCTGTGGAACCTGTACATAGACCAAGAGGCAGCTGTTTGAACAGAACAAGGAGATACTGCTTGGGGTAAAATTAGGAAAGGTGTGCATCAGAGTTGTACCCTTTTACCATACTTATTCAATCTGTATGCTGAGCAAATAATCTGAGAAGCTGGACTATATGAAGAAGAATGCGGCATCAGGATTGGAAGAAGACTCGTTAAAGACCTGCGATATGCAGATGACACAACTTTGCTTGCTGAAAGTAAAGAGGTCTTGAAACACTTACTGATGAAGATCAAAGACTATAGCCTTCAGTATGGATTACACCTCAACATAAAGCAAACAAAAATCCTCACAACTGGACCAATAAGCAACACCATGATAAATGGAGAAAACACTGACGTTGTCAATGTTTCCATTTTACTTGGATCCAACGTCAATGTCCATGGAAGCAGCAGTCAAGAAATCAAGCAACATATTGCACTGGGCAAATCTACTGCAAAAGACCTCTCTGAAGTCTTAAAAAGCAAAGATGTTACTTTGAGGACTAAGGTGTGCCTGACCCAAGCCATGGTATTTTCAGTTGCCTAATATGCATGTGAAAGCCGGACAACGAATA